CCAGTTCGTTTTAATGTTTTTTTTCCCCACTTGGGGACTTGGGTGGCCCCAAGATGCGGAGGATCGACTAGAGAGCCCGTGGAAACTATCTATAAATTTCTGTGGATGTCGCTTCAAATCGTTATTGGTATTTATAGGATGGGAAAGGTTAAATTGGATAAAGTTGTGGTATCCGTGCAGGGAAATAGATGTTCTGCAGCGGTCTTTGACAGTTTTATTTCAAGTGCGTGCTCCAGTGGAATATAGGGATCATCAAATGGGGCATGACTTCCTTTATTTTAGAATCCCTGAGTTCTAATTTAGGGGCTTTTTTTTACTAAACCTAGTAGCCTTTGTTTTAGAATCCCTGAGTTTTTTTTACTAAACATAGTAGCCTTTCTCAACATCATATTCTGGGAGTTTGTACCTTTTCATTTTTCTATTCATTCTAATAACGTTCTTCAGTAAGGTTGCATCTAAGCTGAGCGGTTATAAATTGAATTTATTTTGAATTTTAATTACAAATTTAATTCCAAAAAAAATGAATTCGCGCGGCTACAATAGAGGTAGGAAGTACACTCAATACCCTCTGGAGCGGCGAGTAGAAGATCCGGACTACGATGAGCTTCGCAACTTGCTCCAGTCCTGGGATCTTGTGCAAATGTTACCTTTTCTGCAGGAGGAGGATATAAACATTAGGGAGCTTTTCCTGATGAGGAGCCACCACATCGCCGACTTCCTAAAAGACTTCAGCATTGGGGTTCGCATTCGGTTCGAGCACCACCTTAGCCAGTGGCACGCCTTGATGGAGACTTTCCATGCCAAACGCCAAGAGCAAGAGCGCAAGCGTCACGTCCAGGTGAACCGTACGGTGACCAAGAAAGCAAAGTACTCGTCTCAGCAGCAGGATCACCCGGACCAACGGCCTGAGGGACTACAACAGGATCATCATGAGATATATAAAAATGACCAGGAGGACGACGACGACGTAGTGCTTGTGGTCCCTCAACAAGTAATACACGTAATAATGGACGACGATGAGCACGAAGACAACAACCACAAAAAGGACGACGACGAGGACGACAATGTGGACCACGGTGAGGACGACAATGTGGACCACGGTGAGGACGCCAATGTGGACCACGGTGAGGACGAAAATGAGGCGGACGACGAGGCAGACGACGAGCCCGACGACGAGACCGAGGAGACAAGATATGCTGAGGAGACTGGCGTGGAACAACACCAAGCAGAGGAGGAGGAGGAGCAGGAGCAGGAGGTTGAATTTGGATGTAAACTCTATTAGATGACCCCAAACGATGACGAACCTATGGCCCAATATTATGGATACGATTTCTGTTGATTTCGAATAAAAAAAAACTAAAGGCATATCAATTATTAATGCTGTTTTGATTTGTCTAGATATTCCCCCAAATACTTCCAGATAGGTACCCTAGGAGCTGCTCCAAGTACTGCCCCAAGACCACAATAAGTTGCACATAAAACATTCGAATGTCTGCCATAAATCTGCCCGTCTAGGCACTGCTGCCAGCCTTTTAACCCCCTCCTGCCGGGGCTTAACCCACCGACTGCCAGACATTTGATGAGTTGCCAGTCAGGCATTGGCCGTCTTCCATCTTGCTGACAAATAATTTACCATAAAATCAACGACAACTGCCAATTTTTCAGTAATTAGCCCCGGTAGTGCCCCCTTTCCGTCACTGTTTTCCGTCGCCTCCCCCGTTTTGGAAGCACTTGAGCGTAATTAATAAAATATATAAGCCCGGGGAAGACAACCCGAGGCGCATTGTTGGAGCCGGGGAGAGATGCTGCCGCGCTGCGGCATTTGCAGAAAATTAATTGTGCTCCACGCAGATTAACACATGCGTGGCACGGTGGCAAGCATGAGAGGGGCACAAACGCATACGGCTGCGTTTTTGGGGAATTTTCAGCGTTTTACAAATTTGAAAATTTCTTGCCGCATTTTTATGACTTGCCCCTGGCAGACGCCTCCTTCGATGTCTGCATTTTTATGTCGATCGTGTTGTCACTGAAGTTTCACTTCCCCCTCGCACATCCTACGCGGTTGCATGTGGCACGCGCGTCGCATAATTAATTAAAAACGCATTTAAACGAAGCTTCACGACAGTCAATCGTTCGTGCACATTTGGCCACAGTCTACGTAGCATGTGTCTTGCCACAAGTTTTATGCATTTTCTAAGAAGCCTTTCGTCGCCGCGCCAGACCAACCGCCATAAATATAAATAAAGAGAATGGAGAACTATATTCTATTATGCCCGACGAAAATATACATATTCTCGTTAGAAGAATCTCTTTGTCTTTGGGGGCCTTTTGACGGAATGCTGACAAGCCCCGAAGGCTGTTCTACAGATGTTCCACGGTGGAGACACCGTCGTTGACCTCTTTTGTGGCTTCGATCCATTCACTTGGAGATTTGCATTCAGCGACGGGCACTCTTTTGACCCCCAAGCCTCCAAGTTGCCGATTCCGAGGTTTGAGGCCACTTTCGAAAGGTTGAAAGTTGGCCAAGATAAAAAGCCACATAACATAAATGGGGGAAAGAACATCCCACTCCCGACAGTAAGAAGCCAAAGGTTATGGGAGAAAAAATTCTAAACATAATGACAGGAAATGCTCAGCCAATTATATAGTTAGCTATATTTTATTTGTGTAATTTATGTTACCCCACACCGGATATATTAGTTCTCACAATCCCATCTCAACTCAATCAAAAGTTTAATTTACTTCCCCCAGCAGATGTCTGAATTTTGTAGAATTTTTATGATTTCTCAACCTGTTCTGCCAAAAACAATTATAATTACTATCTGGGAAAAACATCCTCCATGTTATTTTGTTGCCCCTAAAAAGCAGAAATTCTACCGAATCAAGTTCAAATCTCCAACGAATATTTATTTATGAAATTCCGTATTTATTTTGGCTTGCTCTTTTTGGGTGTTCGGGAATTAAATAGCTCACTGAAAGCCACTTAACAGTTGATTTCAGCTGAATTTAATGCAACATTAGCGCTTCTTTATGCCACTGCCACCAGAGAATATCTGTTCTGTTCAGAGACGAGAACTGTTCAGTGGCGAGAATATCCGGATCTCCGAGGTGATAGAATTCTGCAGATACTATGTATGTTGGACCACCGACCGTCCGCCGTCCGGAGTCCGGCGGTCCATGTGGCAAGCGCCGGTGATGGGAAACAGCTGACCAGCAAGCCACGAAAATATTTTATTTATGTGCCACGTAAATAAATCGAAAATACCCCGAAACAAATGCAGAGCTAAAAAAATATATAGTGCTTTGAGGCATCTCTGATTGGCAGGGCCCGTGGATGTGAAATTGTAGAAAGTCGGAGCTGTCTGGCGATAGAATGCAGATACATCAGTGAGGTTTACCAGGTGGCAGATCAACAAATTTTTCATTGTACCAGGTAACTTATAATAGGAATAATAACATTAACAAAGCTATACTAATTGCTTGCTTTTAAATCTCAGCAAGATATCAAGAGTATGAGTTTTAGATAATTTTCACAAATGAATGTTTTGAAAATAAAATAAATTAGTTTCGTGCCCATTAGTTTTTTTGTTATATTTTTCAAATTATGAAATTTTAATATTAAAGTTCCTGCCAGTTCAGTAAGTGACAGTTTTAGACACTTGTCGAAACGGTAACTAGATCCTTTTGTGTTCGAATTACAAATGTTATTCCTTCCCGACCTTTGATCTTTGAGTTCTATAATCGAGTTCTAAATCAAGTTAAAAAATGGTAATTATTTTCTAAAACTATGTATTTGAAAAATATCCTTCAATAAAAATCTGCGCTGGAATTAATCGTTTTTACATCTATTTTCAAAAGGTAACTAATAATACATGGTGTGTAATATTTTTTCATTAAAGAATGAACCGAAAGCAAACAAAATCTTAATGGTTTAATGAAATCCTTAAGCAACATGAAACTCATTTTAGCCCGCTATCAATTTATAACAGATCGTTTGGCTTACCAAGAAATCGCTTCATTTAAGCCCACTTAGACCTGGCAGCCACATTGGCCACACTCTCGCGATCCGGACACCCTGAAAAGATCAGGCGAGATCGGAGGGGCCATAACGATCATTGTCACGGATGGCCGGCACAGCGGGGTAGCCATAGCCGTTAACTACTGTACTGAATGGGCGCATTTGCACAATTTGCACTCACTTTTTAGGCCGTAATAAAATCGCATAAATTTCTGTTGAAGCGGATGGGGGGGCTTGAAGGGGCTGACGCGCCAATAAGCGAGCGATTTGTGAGCCTAATGAAGGCGATTTGTTGCGGCACCAACTGCCACTAAATTAGACATGAGAATTGATGGGCCCAGACCCTGAGGTGCTATCAATACCACACCAACTAGATCGCCTTGCCAAAGGGGAAATTTAACGAGCTGCCAGCGATATTCTCCGTACGCTTCATTTGAGAAATCTATGTGGAAATATTTTATTTTATATAGTTCGATCAACTGGTCTGCGGAGCGTCTGATCAGTGCGCCTCTTCAGTGGCCCACTTCTGGACAACATCAGGCCCAGACTGGCCGTCAGAGTGTTTCTTATCACCCCATTTGAGTTGAAATGTTTGTTTCTTTTTGGCTTTTCGTTGCGGCTTACGCACTTTTCACACAAACAGTTTTTTTCACAAGATGATGTACTTGAAAATATATATATTTTTTTATTTAAAAAATCTAGGAAACATTTTTTTATAAGGCAAGAAGATTGAGAGCCTACAGGCCAAGGGATACGGCCTTGTATCGCGGGGTAAGTAAAGGTTAGGTCAAGTAAGAAAGGAGTTCTTCATTATGTTTAAAGAATAAGGTTAGTTTTAATCGATAAATTCTATAAAAGCTCCTATTTTTTCTTCACACCAGAGAAAACCCTCTAAAAACACAAAAGCCATTAAAAATCGTCAGCCCTGATTTTAAAACCCATTCAATCAGTGAATCTAATGTGAAGGCAATAGGCCATAAGTTTAATCAAGGATATTTGGTTTGCTGTTTTTTTTTTGGGAAATGTCTACAGCTGGTCGAAATAAAATGAAACACCTGCAAATTGCAAAACATTCATCCAGGATTCGTCAGGGTGCTGGGGGGGAGGAAGGGAGAGCGCTGGGCGGTGGGTGAGAACACATCCTCCCACATAACCGCGAGGCAATAAGTCAGACCGGGACTCAATGGCAACCCTCGCAGCTGACAGGAAGCCAACCCCGAAGTGGGTGGGGGCCGAGTAAGCAGAGTGCCCCTGCAACACCTCCCACACAGCCAACACAAACACACACACACAGTCTGGCCAGCTGCTGGTAGAACAGGCTCATGAATACATTTGAACTCGTTAACTGCGAGACACACCCCAACATTTGCTTTGGGGGTTGTTCCATGGCTTTTCCTCGGGCCCACTCATCCATGCCGCCGTTCCCTCTTCTCCCAGGGTCCTGCCTTCCGTGGCCGGGCTTCAGTGTCCTGGCTTTGCACGTGCACAATTTCGAGTTCATCAAAAGGAATTTGCTTTTGGGGAGCGCCCTTGCTCGACATTTATTAGAATTCTTTGCTTTCAGTCGTCGCTTTTCTTTTTGGGGGCAGGAGGGTGAAAAATTCAGCGTCAGAAGCTTTTAGCCATGAATAAAGTTTTGGTGAAATCACTGAAAAAAAATACTGTTTTTTTAGCCTAAAATTAAATCTTTGAAGCAAAGAAGAAAGAAATCTAAAACGTGAAACAATGAAGGCAACTTTAAATGCTATTTTAAAAATCTTTCAAAACAAAAAATGAGCGAATTTTGAAATAATATTTTGTATAGTATTTTGTTCTAAAAAATCGTATAAATATTTCTTTAAAATCCCCCATTTTTTATCTCTGCAGGGATTCGTTTCGTTTCCGTTTGTTGATCTCAATGTTGGTTTACTGCCATTAAAGTTTGGTTTGTTCTCGCTCTGGGGATGTATGTACGAGTCCGTATCCATGTCGGATTTTGGATGCCTTAAAGCTATTTGCAGGGCATTGAAATCGGAGCAGGAACATGCCACGCATTTTGACTTTTTTAGCTGTCAAAGGAGGAATGAGTTGCAACGAATCCTCATGTCCTCATGTCGCACGTCGCTTGTCAAGGAATTTAATGTTTCAAATTGTTTGATGTTGTCCTCGGGGAAATCATAAGAAATGATTTGAAGAACACCAAATTGTTAAAGGCTTATAAAAGGAACACTTTTCTAAATACATCACAGGACAAAGGGTGCATAAACAAACAGTGACTTTAGTATCATAAGCTAACTTTCCATTGTTGAAGGATTTTAAATTCCAGGGTCGTAACTTTTATGACTTTTAAAAGATAAGCTTTTAGTTTATTTGTCTAATTTTTGGCTTTGATTTTCAGGCCTTACTTTTTTCTCTATTTGAGTAACATTATTGTAATTTTTTCATCACAAAACTAATGCCACAAACCAAACACTATGTGTAGTACTTTCCCTTAACTCCCCTGACTAATTTCGATTCCCAAATCAAATTAACTAAAGCAAACACGATTTCATCATATTTGTCCAACAATTTCGTTTTAGTAGAGAGACAAATTAAAATTACTTATTAACATAACCAACTGGAGCAAACAAACTTGGACAAACAAGGGGTCCACTTGTTCCCTCGTCAAAAATTCGGACATTTGTTCGAGCGCAAGGATAAACAAACCGAACGAGAGGATTAGGACCACCGGTTGCGATTGCCGAGCACTTGTTATTCCATTTTAATTAAGTTAATTGCTTGGATTCCGTGTCATTGGGCGATGAGGCGGACACAGACACAGGCATTCGGGCATTCGGGCACAGGAGGGTTGATCCGATCCTGGATCGAAATCGATGGCACCTCCTCAATACTTAGCCACCCCCAGAACAATGGGTTCAATGGGAGTTTTTAAAAATGTGCACAGACTTGCGGGCAAATCATTGGCAAATGTTCTGAAAAAATAAAACGGAAAACAACAGCCACAAAACCTAAATAGCCGAAATCAGCTCGCACGAGAAATACTTTTTCGCACATTCGTTTTGTAATTTCCGCATTTTCTGATTCGCCAGGCATTTGTCTTAGCAAATATTTGCCATTTGAATGGCAAATCTGTGCAGATTGCCTCCGATGAGTCCCAGAAGTGATGGGATGGTGGGTATAGTGGTGGTGGTGCCTCATCCTCCCTTCGAAGTGGGCGCGACATTTGGTCGATGGGCAGCGGCAGCTGCATCCGAGTGGATCCACTAATTGCACTCTTCGAGACTGCGAATTCGAATGCAAATCACGACATTCTTTACTCTTTTTACCCCGAAGTGCCTTCCCAGCAGATGGCTCTATTAACCCAAGGAACATTATCGGTATTAACAGTTCATTATGTCTAGACAACCCCTAAGCCTTCTCATAAATTGGGATTTACAAAAATTTGAGATACTTTCCAAATTACTTTCAGGAAAATAATTATTTTCTTAAATGATATTTTTCGAATATTCAAGTGTTGTTTACTGGCAATAATTTTAATTGAAAATATTGTTTATTTTCTTGGTTGTGTAATATTTTGTATAACGAAAAATGTTTAATAAATTATTCCAAAAATAAAGAACCATTTTATAGTATCTAATAAATATATAGGATTACAGTATCCCAGATATATGTATGTACATTACACAATAGGAATACATATCCCATTAATATTTCTAATATTTCATGACTCAATAATGAAGAAAAACTCCCCGGCAGTGACCACTCTACCCTAGTCTAAGTGCAAACTGGGATCCTGGCCCTGGGAAATCAGATTTTACAACTTAATCAACGCACCCGTCGCTAATGGCACATGTGGGGATTGTGTTGACTGGGTCTCATTCGGTTTTCGAGTGTCATCAGACCGCCCCTTGTGGCTGCAACTTGCGGCACAAACACTTTGCCAACAAAAAGCGCAAATGTTGCATTTGTTTGGTTTTTGGGGGTGGCTTTTGGCTTTGTTTTTGGGGGGTTCCGAGGGTTAGTCTGCGTCGAAAGTCGTCCGTAAATGCGTTACGGACTATCAATCTTGATTAGACGTGATTTCTGCTCTTTGAGCACAAAAGCACAAGACATTAAAATTAACAGCCTCTGGAAGGGCATAGAATGAATTGGAGGACAACAAAAGACGGCCACGTGTCAACGATATACCCATAGATATCTCCGAAGATGGAGATTATTCCGGCCGTCTGGCTTTTATGAAAATTAGTTCAACACAGATTTAATGACGTCTCTGGTTACATGACTCAAATGGCCGGGCGGAAAAGCCAAACAACTTTTGAAAATGAAAACATAAAAATGTCCGGCTGCAGCGATTTTCTCATTATTTTGCACCGTTTTGTGGCAATTTCAATAAACAATAAATCCCTACCGTACAGCGGCCCCCGAAATGCACAAAACATTGTTTAAATATATATTTCATCCGCCACACAAAAGCCGAGCTCACAGCCCCCGATCTGGCCACAATTTATAGCAATTTTCACATGAATTGAATCCAAAACATGAGGCTGGGACGAAGCCACAAGCGCCTGCCAACAAGCCAGCTGGTTTTGGGAATAGAGCGGCTCTGGATCTGATCCGGGGTTGGGTCTACACTGGGAGAATACTTTGGGCATGTTCTTCTAATCTTTTAGATCTTAAACTGTTTCATCTTAGCTCTTACATTGGTATATTTATATCCAAAATTCTAATCAAACTTTCCTGTTTAATTTTTTCTATTTTTTAACAAAGACCAACACTTATTGATTTCATATTTAATATTTAATCTCTTTAAGCTGAATAATATTTTAGATATTTTTATAAAACAGAAACTAATTTCCTGTGCAATAGCAGGAGAGAGAAGGGGCCACAAAGTCTGTTGGAGCTGCTGTCATCGGGGCGTATGAGTGACGCGACTCCGGCAATGAATGGAGTTGGCCTGGTTGGCGGCGGCTGACCATTGGCCGGCTGACTGGCCATTGCCTGTTGGCCAGCGAACATAATCGTAAACAAATAAAATTATTGCTGCCGATCATGCACACAAATTTATGCACCACCCCGATTACCTCCTCCAAGCACTTCTTTAAACAGAGCCTTTGTGAACCATTGGAGACGTCGCTTACTTTGCACTAATTTTCCAGCCGAGCCAAGGAGCCAAGAAAAATCTTGGACAGTGAGGCCTGGATGGTGGCACGAGGTGTTGCCGCAAGCTGTGTGTGTGAAATATGCAACAACAGCGTGAAAATACATGAAGGCAGCAGCACACAGCGGGAAATGCATTTTCGCGTGCGGCGCTTCGCCGAGGCTGTGGCACATCTGGCTAAAAAAACTACAAAAAAAAAATGGAAAACTAAAAACTGCAAACTGGCAGCCAAATGCTGCGAAACCACCTAATACAGGTAGTCAGTCAGTCAGCACCGGGCAGTGATGAGGTGTTGCTTAGTGCACTGTGGGTCTAAGATTCTGAAATAAAGTATCTTTTAATTTAAAAAAAATATATAAATTATTTTAACTTTGTTATGGTACGTAGGAGGGATAAAAAGTGGTTCCTTTTTGAGTCTTTTTAATTTTTATTATTTTAACACATAAAGTGCAGTCTATAAATATTAAAAAAATATTTTATTAAATAGATTGACTACATATCCTACCTTTAATTCTATATCTAAACTCTATATGTATCTGATAGTTCTTGGCCAGGGTATAAGCCACATGTTTTGGGTGTTTCTCAAGGCAGCTGATTTAAGACATCTCCATGGCTAATGAACACTTGGCCAAGATAAAGATCACACAAGAGGCCAGTTAGTTAAAGACTCTTTTTTTAGTGCTGTCATCACGGGCTTCATTATGGTTATTACTTGAGTTTCTTGTCTGTGAAGAAAAAACTAGTGTGGGTGGGTTTTAAAGCCCTACCTATCATTAGGAAAAGTTGTTGGTCTTCCTGTAATATTATAGGACATTGTAGTTACAGTGGAGCTTGGCTTAAAGAATAAAGTGGAAAACGTAAAGCATAAAAAATTAATTAAATTATTTATTATATCCTTTTGTGTAGGTCTTTACATAAAGACTTTTAAATACGAGCCTTTTAAAAGGTGCCTTTTAAATTGGAATGTGTAAAGACCTAAGACCTTGGCTGCCAGGACTCTACTTTGTGCTCTAGTTCTATGCTCAAGGGTTGGCATTTGCACCCTCTTCAGGTTCATTGGTATCTCCGGTTCCGTATCTGGGTATCAATGGCCAGGCCGACAACGACATTTGTTTGCCTTGTTTGTGCTGTGTCTGTCTTGTTGCTAGCTTTTAGCATAATTAAACGACACATGCCACAAAATGCACTTCTATGGCATTCATTCATACGACGCGTCGTTTCAACAGCGTCATCATCATTCGACACGGCATCCATATGTTCTATTCGAGTTAAGTAAAGTAAAGTAACCCTCCCCAAGCCCAGTACCCTCTGACCGTGTCACTCCACAAATTACTCCGTATGGCTGGAAATTTGTACCGAACATAAGGTTTCATTTCGGATCCCACATATTAATGCCCGGCCGGT